TGGCGATGGTCGCGAACCCCGTCGCGGCGCATCTTTGTCTACATAAAACCAGCCGAGGTACAGAAGCGGCAGCCACCAGAAACGAGTGTAGAACAGTAGATAGAATGCAAGGACGTACGTGAAGTAGGGACTAAAGAAGATGAAAACGAAGTGCAAAACAGCCAGCGTTTCCAAACGCCGATGCAAGGGGACAAACACCGGCGCAAAGTCAATGCCCAGGATCTTGGTCATTCGAGAATCGAACAAGATCTAAAATCACGCATGCTCCACTGATAACAACATATCATATTTTCGAGCCCAGCGTAGCAAACTGAGCAATAAGATAACAGTCCCGTGCGCCAGGTACAACAAGTACCTGCAAACGACAGTACTCAGCAACGAAAAGTGATTCGATCATATGACTCACATGTGAGTGAAAAATAACATGAAGTAGTATACTTCAGTTTGATTGCATGTAAAATTGCAGCAAATTTTGTATAAAAATGTTCATAAAAGTCATCGTTTTATCATACTTTCGAGCATGTTTACCGGTGCGTAAATAACAAAATGCAATGTACGATAGCGATGTTTTGTTCGCAAATCAAATATTGGCGCATTTAGACTGCGTCACAGGATGCATAGTATATCCGCTGAATTAGCACAAAACTATCTTGTTATTGCTTGAACAATATCGCTAAAATGTCCTGTTTTTCAGCATAAAGGAAAAACTAGTTCGAGAACACACAATAATTAATTTATGGCAGCCTCATGAATCTGCGGTCTGTGCAGTTAAGTGCGTTGGCATTAAACAGTTTACCATCTGCTGCATTTTGTGCTTCGAACCATGAATTATTCAAAGAACCATGTATATAACTATGAGTTCAGAATCCGAAACCTGTAGAATTATCAATAGTCTATGACAATTCTTCGGATTTACACAAAAGTTGCACCGTACCCCTTGCTTCTAGTATCCTATAGGCGATCATGAGTAGGCCATACTACCATGGTATTTTAGCACTTGTGGTGCATAGTTGCAAAAGCACATTACTGTGCAGAGCCTGACAAAATCTTGTTAGGGCCCCTGCCAACATGCCGCAATCCGTTGGCATATTTACATGCAAATAATGTAGTTGAAAGAATTTACAAAGATTCTTATTTTTAAGGGCGGTATCGAAAACTAAGAACTTGCTAGTAAACCCACAGTACGGCGGTTATTTATATGCGAACAATAAATAATGGTAAAATAATGCAGATTAAGCCATGAACGAAACTGCTATAAATGACAGGCTGCTATTTGCAAACCTGCTGCTATTATTTCATCGTCATTTGCAGCTAACACCATTTAAATAGCAAAGCAGACCAAGTTTATGGTGTCTCATCATAAGATTGTGTGCTACAGCAGATCGATATTAGAAAATGTTTGCATTTACGGCAAAGATTGTATTCCTCGTCTCAGTAAGTGTGCCTCAACAGAATGTTCCCAATCGTTGCATTGTCTTTCAACGCGTCTCCTGCTTGTGCACGTTTCCAAATAAGTAAGGCTTTTTTCGAGCGCTTTGTCAAACCAAGCGAGGCTCCTGTATGCGTTTATGTTATAATTGTCTTAGGCTCCGCCAAGGCCGGTCCCAAGCCCGGATGAGAAATAAGGAGGGTTGGAGACCGTGGCAAGTCTCCGTAAAATTCAGCCACCTGCCACTCATGGTATTGACGAGTTC